CGAAATGTCCTCGATGCATTTTTTTCTCAAAACATTTCTAAATGGTAGCATTTCAGGATAATGAAAAAAATTAGATGATTATTATAAGATTTTTCCTGTATATTTGAGCCTATCTTTAAGCCATTTAATCACTTGCATAATGAAATTAAGATGAATTTGGGACAGGAGAGAGTTTAAGATTTATTATTTTGATAAGTAGATTGGGTGATTGAAAAATATAAGAGTATGTTGAAAGAAAAATAGGTACAAGTTGGACTATGAGCATGTTAATTGAAATTTTTCTAACTTTTGAAATGATGCTCAGTAGGTAGTTTGATATATAGAAACACACCTCAGCCAGGAGGTATAGAAAAGATGTAATTTATTGAAAATTATGAAATCATCCTTGGATTGTGTGAAGAGAACAGATGACAACCCCATGAAACAACAACTTGAATGCAGTAAATAAAACAGGTCATTTGAGAGGTGGGAGGAAAACCAGAGAAATGGGGAGTCGACACTTGCTCCCTGGGTTCCAGCAAGTAATAAAACCTGCGTGCCCATCATGTAAATGCTTTCAGAGTTACTTTTGCATTTCCAACTGGTTTGGGCTTACTGAGGAAAATCCTCAAATAAAACATATCACTAAATGACTTAAGCTGTGTTTGTGAAATACTGTTGTAACATAATCAAATAAAAATTCGGTTACTTAGTTCATTTTAGAGTTGCATGATTTATGAACACATGCTATAGCATTATCACTATTTTTCTTAGTTTCTGAAAGGTTATGGGGCATTCTATAGAGCCTTAATTTTAGTGCTTACAAAGTGCTTTACGACTTCCTGTTTTTGGCAAGAATTATAACAAGTAACTGTAATAGTTTGGTTGTTCTTACATAGATAAACCAGGGAGGTGATCCCAAATTAAATCTTTAGTTCATGGCTGTTCTTATTTTGATATACTCTAGCTTTAAGTAAATATTTGTATTTAAAAAGGAATTAAATGCACATGTGGCACCATTAATATTTTAGCATTCCTAGTAACTTTTACTTTTACATCTTAAAGATAAAATAAAAATCAGACTGCATCCATGCCTATTACCAGCATTTTGAAAAAGTTATTGTAGAAAGGGGAGAGAGATAAGAAAGTATGCATAAAACCTTCAAAGTAAGTCAAGGCGAGAAACTTAGAATAGCTAGACTGTAGAACATAAAGTCAGCTGCAGAATAGCCTGCACAGCCTTCTAACACATCAACTCCAGGTAGATAGAGCCTTTGTTTCTCCTTGCTGAGGTTGGACAGTGTTCTGAGGATGAAGTAGCACTGGGCAAGCAGTGAACTTTAAATTCAAATCTTTTGTAGGTAGAATAGCAATGAAGTGAAGTAAAATGATTCATGTGGAGGTAGTGGGATCATTGGTTTGAGTCCCCAAAGCAATGCCCTCTTAGGGTTTATAGGCAGGGCATTTAGTTTGTTTTAGAACCTGAACAGTTTCAAGGCTTAGCTTGCAATGAATAAGTTCAGATGTACTATTGAACAGTTTTCAGTTTTTCCTCACTTAACGAGAACCTTTTATTTGAAGAAGTAAATGTTTTTGCGACATTCTAAACTTGCTGTATTTTTATGCAAATAACCCCCTTACTGAAAATATTCTCTACTAGTTTTTTATATACATAAAAATAATTAGCATACCCCTCCCCCCAGAATAATTTATTTCAAAAGATGGCATTGAATCTGCAGCTCCGGAAGAGGGTCATATCTGATCGGAGCACACGGGAGCAGATGGAGGAGAAGGAGGAGCAGAGAAGTGAAGCACATTCTGGCCCACCAGGCCTTGAGGACGAAGATACCAATTAGCCTATCTTTAAGCCAGTCCACAGAAAGGACCACATGGCCAGCCGCACTGTGAGACATGACGCCCCTCACTGACCCATAGCCCTACAGGGGACAACACCGAAGACAGTGTGGGAATTGCACCCAATCTGATCCCACCACACCAAGGCAAAACACTAAGGGGGTGCAACAGAACAGCAAAAGAATGGAGCAGCAAGGTCCCCAGGGAATGCTAAAGGTGGACTTAGAGGCCAGGGCGTGGTGCCCCAACAGACTGGACTGGAAAACACTCCTAAAGGCCAAGAAATGATCCTTGAACTAACTACAAGCTTTTCTTTTTTTGTTTTTGTTTTTTTGTCGTTGGTTTGTTGTTGTATATTGTTTGATTTTGCTCTGTCTTGTTTTTGTGCATGTTATTATCTCCGCAGGTATGTCTAAATAAGATAGACTGGATGAACAATCTGGAGGAGAAAACAACGGGACTGATAGTTCCTGGGGGTACATGGGAGAAGGGGAGGTGGGGGGAAAGATAATGGTGTTGACAAACCTAGGGACAAGGGAACAAGTGATCCAAATCGGTGGTGAGGAGGGTGTGGGAGGCCTGGTAGGACATGACCAAGAGTAATGTAACCAAGAGGAATTGCTGAAACCCTGGTAGGGACTGAGCATGATAGTGGGACAGGAGGAAATTCAAGGGAAATAGAGGAAAGAGCTGGGAGGCGAAGGGCATTTATAGAGGTCTAGATAAGACATGTACATATGCAAATATATTTATATATAAGGATGGGAAACTAGATCTATGTGCATATATTTATAGGTTTAGTATTAAGGTAGCAGAAGGACATTGGGCATCCACTCAAGTACTCCCTCAATGCAAGAATACTTTCTTCTATTAAATTGGCATTCTATGATGCTCACCTTCCCAACACAACCGCTGAAGGCAAAGCGGATGAATAAGCAAATGTGAAGAAAGCTGATGGTGCCCAGTTATCAAAAGATAGAGCGTCTGAGGTCCTAAAGGCTTGAAGGTACACAAACAGCTATCTAGCTCAGAAGCAACAAAGCCCACATGGAAGAAGCACACCAGCCTGTGTGATCACGAGCTGCCAAAGGGATCAGTTATCAGGCATCAAAGAACAAAAAAATAATATTGTGTGCTCACCTCCATAATACGACCACTGAAGACAAATGGGTGCATAAGCAAATGTGAAGAAAGCTGATGGTGCCCTGCTATCGAAAGATACAGAGTCTGGGGTCTTAAAGGCTTGAAGGTAAACAGCCAACTAGGTCAGAAGCAACAAAACCCACATGGAAGAAGCACACTGGCCTGTGCAATCACAAGGTGTCGAAGGGATCAGGTATCATCAGAACCAAAATCTTACCATAGCGATTGAAGGGGGAGTGTGGAGTGGACACCCAAAGCCCATTTGTAGGTCACTGGAGATCCCCTTGTAGAGGGGTATTGGGGAGGATACAAGCCAGACAGGTTGCAATGTAGCATCAATGAAAAATACAACTTTCCTCTAGTTCCTAAATGCTTCCTCCGCCCCTCACTATCATGATCTGAATTCTACCTTGCAAGGCTGGCCAGACCAGAGGGTGTACACTGGTAGAGATAGGAACTGGAAGCGGAATTCAGGGCAGATGATCCCTTCAGGACCAGTGGTGTGTGTGGCGATACTGGGAGCGTAGAGGGAGAGTGGGTTGGAAAGGGGGAACCAATTACAAGAGTCTACATGTCACCTCCTCCCTGGGGGACGGACAACAGAAAAAGTGGGTGAAGGGATAAGTTGGGCAGGGCAAGATATGACAAAATAATTTATAAATTATCAAGGGTTCATGAGGGAGAGGGGAGCGGGGAGGGAGGGATAAAAAAGAGGACCTGATGTCGGGCTTAAATGGAGAGCAAATGTTTTGAGAATGATGAGGGCAATGAATGTACAAATGTGCTTTACACAATTGATGTGTGTGTGGATTGTGATAAGAGTTGTATGAGCCCCTAATAAAACAAAAAAAACCCCAAATGTTTGACAAAAAAAATTAGCAGTGTTCTTAATGTGAAAATGTGTTCTTTTTAGAAATATCTGTTTCCATCATAGCATCTTACCTATCTTATGTGAAAACAGTCACATATAATTTTTTTATTTTGATGACTCATATAATTTTTGCCTTGTTTATTAATCTATGTCTACATCACCTATTAGCAAGTGCGCTCCTTAAGAATGAAGGCAATGGCACATCCATCTTTGGCTCTTCAGTGGGTAACCAGTTAAATGTTTAAGTGATCACTAAGAATTTCTTGGATCAGCATGTTGCTAAATGAGTGTAATGATGTTGGCAGGTGGGGTTGACATTTATCTCCTATGTAAGGTCACTAACAGTCACTTGTGACAATGGCTTCAATGTTCCCTGACTGCTATTCTCAGTTGTCCTCTGTGTCAAGATTTTGTTTCCCTAGTTGTCTTCATATACTAATTAGGGGTTATGAGCAGATGATAAGCGCGATAGAAGACATGTTGTTAGATTAGTGAGCCCAAAGTAAAAATTTCATATTTAGGATTTCTACATAGTTTAGCATCATGAAATCATGCGTTCCTGGAGATATTTCTTTCTGGTGTGTGTCTGCTTGTTGAGAAGCTGGTCTAAGGTAGATAATTGAGGGAAAGTTAAAGGTGGAACCATAGGCATCTGTTGTTGGTAGATTGAAAACTGCAGCTTTGTACTGAAAACTGCTGGTTTAAAAAGACTCAGACTGATTCAGTAACTACAATTTTTTATTTTCTGTAATAGTTAACTGCTTACTTGGAGAAGGTGGGTTTTGTGTGTGTAGTAGAAGTTGGGCAGCTCCCTACAAGGTCAGCAGCATAAAACCACCAGCCCCTCTGTGAGAGAAAGATGAGGCTTTCTGTCCCTATAAACATGTACAGCCTTATAAACCCACAGAGGCAGTTCTGTTCAGCCCTATAGGGTCACTGTGAGTTGCAATGCTGGGGAATCTGAGTATTAGGTGTGGTTGAGTTAGTTCCAACTCCTAGTGACCCTATCTGTGTACCACAGAATGAAACACTGCTCACTCCTGGGACAACCTCACAATTACATGTAAATTTAACTTTCCTTTTTTGTTTTGCCTAAGCTGTAGTTAGTATTCAGTTCCCATAAAGTTTTAATTAATCTCTGTTTGGATTTTAGGTGTTAGAGATGGACATATAAGCCATGATGTTTTGCATGGCTCACTCGAAGGCTTTCAGGAACTCGGCAACCCTCATGAAGAATCAAACAAAAAAAGCAGTGTTAGAAAGGTCAGTGTTCTTGTATAACAGTGTCATTCTAAACTTTCAAATGCTGCTACACTCTCATAGTCTGTTCTGGGTTTATGAAGCATAAGCTAATCTATTAAACTTGGATTTTATTTAAGTTAATTATGAGTAAATGTTGGAAACTTCTGATAATAAAACGGGGAACTTTGGTCACATTTAGGACACAGAGTTACTGTGGCTGGAACAAGCTTTCTCACATCACTTTGCCAATGTATTTCTGACTTGTAAAAATGCCTGCAGCTTCCCCTGAGCAGAGCCTGTTGGTTGTGCCAGTGTTTGTTGTAGTTCTGTAATCTGAATCAACATTCAGGAGGTAGGATTTTGTTAAGAACCCAAACATTCACTTGTAAACCAGTCAAGGTTTGAACTTTAGCCATTCGAGGGAAACATTTCTATACTAGCACTTGGGTTCCCGGAATCAGCTCATTTTCCTTTTTACCCCCCTTCCCCCTCCCTCTCTCTGCCCCCCTCCCCCATGCACCCTTGATCATTTATAAATTATTATTATATCTTATATTACACTGCCCAGCGTCTCTTTCTCTTTAACTAATATCACAGTATAGATCTTTTTTTTTTTTTAAGATAATTTTATTGGGGGCTCTTACAACTTATACCAACCCATATATCAATTGTATCAAGCATATTTGTATATATATTGTCATCATCAGATACGGATTTTGACCTGAATAATTGTAAAAACTAGAATCCCAGCCCATTGACCGCAAATTGATTCCAACACAGAAAACCCTCTGGGGCAGAGTTAAAACTACCCTTGGATTCCCGAGGCTACAAATATATATTTTTTTAAATCAATTTATTGGGGCTCATAAAATTCATCACAATACATAGATCAATTGTGTAAAGCACATCTATACATCTGTTGCCCTCATCATTCCCAAA